CTCCTGTTTAGATGGCTACATCTGACTGTCCATGATATGTGGGTCCATAAAATGGCCAACTTCCCAAAGCTGCCATGTGTACAGCGGCAGGATCTCCATCCAAGGTCTGGGCAAAGTCTATGAAGCATTTCACCACTATGACAGGAAACAGCAATGTCAGCAGTGGTGTCATCTTTGGACACTGAGGATGGGGATTCAGTGCCATGAGCGGTCAGTTAAATTGTAATCGGAGTGAACTGTTCCTCTGCAGACCATAATGTTCTTTAGCTGCAGCCAAATGGCATCCAAGAAGGGGAGAAAATTTTTTGAAATGCTGAAGAAATTATTTCCAATTTGGTGCTCACAACCAGAGACTCTAATGATCAGTGGAAATGAGAAGCAAACAAATTAGCACTAATGGGAAATGGCTTTTGGAAAAGAGGATTTAATTTATAGTCAACTGGTCATGGCATGCAGCATGCAGTGAAAGTCAGCTTCACCAGCTTGATCGTAAGAACTAGAGCACGCACGGCATGCCAGAGAAAAATATACGTGTGCCATCATGCTTATTGGAATCTCTCTGTAAGTGGCAGCCAATTAAGGGAGTCATTATTTTACCTTGGAGAAAAAACGGCCTGAAAAATCAAAGCACATGAAATTAAAATCCAGATTAGGAACCTCGATCCAAATTGGTTTGTTTGTGGCCTTCTAACCTTGGCAAGGTCTTCTGCAAGGACGACAAACCTACTTTGTCTTCAGCCCAGGGTGGACTCTGTTTTTAATTTCCTCTCCATCTTCAGAGGTAATTAATAAATCTGGACTCATCTATAAATCATTTCTATAGCCGCCAAATGGTTCTTCCTCATGCAGAGATACTAAAATTACAAAATCTCAAACCTCAGCTCTTGCACTAAGCCAAAGGTCCTTAGCAACGGGCGAAAAGAGGTATGATAAAATCAAATGGTCAGTAGGTCTTGTTTCTAAAAAAAAATTTCTTTTTCCCCTCTAAATCAAAAGACATATTTCTAAAAGCAAGAAGCCTCTAGGGCATAGGCTGCCGGCCTGGCTCACTGTCCCCAGGTGGCCTCGGAGACAAAAAGGCAGTCACTATGGGCTGTTTCTACGGGTTCCGCCAGTGGAATGGGACAGAGGCTTCTGCTTTGGCTCCCGTCCCAACTCCTCACTCTCAGCTCCCCACTCAGAGAGAAAGAGGGAGTGAGAGAAGGAGGGAGAAGAGAGATGGAGAAAGAAAGAAACATTCTCCTTCCAAACTTCAGGTCCATCTAAGGAGGGAGTCCTGGTCTTCACTTCCACCTCAACTGGAGGGCAACTGCACTCCGATTTGTTACTTTCTTCTCACAGGATCCCCCTCCTCTGCTCCCCTCTCATACCCTCTTTACAGAGCCCTCATTGCCACTCATCACTTTCCTGCAGATGGCATCTTCCCCTCACTTCCCCAGCTGCAAGTCCCGCCATCCTTTCCACATAGACGATCTCCCCCCCCCTCCTTCCTGCAAAACCCCCTGCCTGCATCCTCTCCCAGGACCTACCCTCATCTTCTATCCACAGACTCCAGTTTCCCTTCTGCCCCCAACTCCACTCCACAGATCTGCCTTCATGCTCTCCCCACAAAATGTAACTCTTTAGGTCAACCATAACCACTCTACCCACATTCTCCTCGCCCTTCACTGCTCTATGTTTTATCTTCTTTGAAAGCTTCCTTGAGCTTCTCTCTCTTGAACCGTCTTTCTGGCTACCTCCAGGCTGCCCCGAAAGCTGCTACTATCCCAAGGCGCCACTTCTGCGTGGTCCTCCCTGGTGGAGGCTGCTTATACTCTTATGCCCAAGGACATCAGGATTCACAGTGGGCTAATGTCTCCTCACCAAAGCCCAACCTGGATCCTTAGTCTACCACCTTCTTGTAAAAACCGTTGATCCTTTTAGGGTCATGCCATTCAGATGTATGGACCTTTATCCCTCCTCACACTGTCATCTACAGATTCCAGAGCAACCCGCTCTATCCATCAGGGACTTCAGTACCTAGTTCACCATTATCCTCTTCCCTTTTCCCTCAAGTCCTGCCACCAGCCAGAAGGACTTCAGTGGCCCTGTCTACCCCTTGAACGTCTTCTGTACTCCAGCCAGCTACTCCCACGGCCACACCCTGGACCGTGACATCACCTGGAACTAATCAAACATCATTACTCCACTTTCTGATTCTAACTCTCTCATCCAACTACTTGTAAGATATGGTTCTCTAACTTCATTGGAACCCCAGTCCTTAACGTTTTTACACTCTTCCATGCTGTTTAGGTTCTAAGGTTCATCCAATCAATCTTTTTGCCAGGATTTTCAACTTCCTCGTCCTTTGTCCTTCCATTTTACCCGCCTGATAAAACCCAAACCTGGGTCAATTCAACTAACCTCTCTGTACCCATCACTGAATGGCTTAACGTTGTTGGGTGAAAGATACATACCACACAAACACGCGGACCACTGCTGCTGCGAGTTAATGGTCACCAACCTCAATTGGTCTCATAACTGCCCGGAAGCCCATATGCCACCTCAGTCACCTCATTCCCATTCTCATCTGCAGCTATTTCAGCCCCTCTCTGCTCTTCCCAAACCTTGTACACCATCTCCAGCCCTACTCTCACGGACTGATATCAACTCCCCATTTCACAGAGAAAATAGAAACCATCAAATAAGAATTCTCTCACCCTGGCTGGTGTAGCTCAGTGGACCGAGCGCGGGCATGCAAACCAAAGGATTGTGGTTTGGTTCCCAGTCAGGGCACATGCCTGGGTTGCAGGCTAGTTCCCAGCAGGGAATGCACGAGAGGCAACCATACATTGATATTTCTCTCCCTCTCTCCTTCCCCCTCTAAAGATAAATAAATAAAATCTTAAAAAATATTAAAAAAATTCTCTCAACTTCTCACCACCAAACCTACTAATGTACAAATCTCACAGGCTTCCTTTTTGTTACAATCCAAATGTCATTTGGATTTTCTAAGTGAATTTCTCAACCAGTGCTTTGGAGTCCCCACATTATTCTCTTTCCAGGGTTGCCACTCTGTCTCTATAATTTCATCTTTTTCCTTTTACTGGATCCATGCCAACAGCATTTCTCCCATCTGAATAAAAACCTGTGTTTCCTTCCATATTGCCATCTTTCTTTTTCCTTCTAAAGAGCCAGCCATCCTAAAAGTGTATTGCGCATGCAGTCTTCACTCCCTCACTTTTCCACCTACTTCTAAACTCACTAATTTGACCTCTGCCACCAGTACTCCACTGAAACTGCATTTGCAAAAGTCACCAACAACTTCCTTGTTCCTAAATCTGGTGGATTTTTTCAAACCTTACTTTATTTGATTAGTCATCAGCCTTCAACACCTTCCTCCCCTGGCTTCTGAAATACCATGACCCTCAGGAGAATGATCTTACCATTCTCCTTTGCCAGACCCTCAGACTTGAGTACTTCTTGGCGATCTGTTCTCAGCCCTCTCCTCCTTTTATTCTACATACTCCCTGGCCAGCCCAATAAATCAATCTACTGGTGAGGCTGCCATCTGTAAGGCATGACAGACTACCACATTTCTATTTCCAGTTTAGGCTTATCTGGTAACCTCCAGTCAGGCCCACTCAACTGCCTGCTGGATGCCTCTGCTTGGATTTCCCACAGGCACCTCAAATTCACCAGGCCCAGACTTACCCTCTCCTGAAAACCCCACTTCCTCTCCTGTTTGCCCAAGTCAGGAATTTAGAAGTCATCCTTCCTTTCTCCTGCTTTGCCCCACCAGGTGCCAAGTCTAGTTCTTTTTAGCTACAAGTGTCAAAGGAATCCATTCCCAATTCGATCCTGCTACCTTTCTATGTTTTAGGACACTGCAATGCTTTCCCATTACGGAGACAACTTTCTAACTGGTCTCCCTGCAATCTGTTCTTTGCATTGATCTTTCTAAAGCATAAATGATTGTTAGTCCTTTGCTAAAGCCCTGAAATGACTCCCGACTGTCCCCAAGATAAAATCTAAGCTCTTGTAATCATAAGAAACACATTGGAAAATTTTTACCATCAGTAGATCTACCAATAGTCAAAACTGAGCTTGGCAATGGAGAACCTCTAGGGTGGGAGCTAACTATTCTTCCAAGGTTACTCTCACGTTAGTATCTCCTCTGGCCATAATATGCTCATAATTTGCAATTTATGGCACTCCTCAGTTTTCCCTTTCTGAGCTCCTGCAAAGAGTTCTTCCCCACGCTCCCGTATCTCCACAAGTCTTTCAAGGTCCACCTCAAGATCCATCCCTACTGTCACAATTGTCCCTTCAACACTTTCTGAGCTCCTTTTCGCTTTAAGAATTATGGAAGTCAGGGTGAAACGCTTAATCCTTACTAGAGCTCATCTATATAACAGGTGCTCAGTAAACATCTGTTAAATGCATGAATACATGCAAAAAAAAACCCCACCAAAACCCCAAAACTGTATTCCCTTGCCTCTTTGTGTCCCTCACGAACAGAGTATTCTCTAAGTCTTCACCTACAGTTTTCCCCACTGCCTCTTACCCACTCCACCATTTACGATATGCCTCACCCCACTGGGTGGAGGATGGGCCCACGCACGCGCTCCCTAGGCCGTTTTGTTCGGTTTTCTACCTCTCCTTTGGAGCTGCGATAGTAGGGGATGGCAGAGGTAGCTAGATGATGTACGTCAAAAGGCACTGTCGTCCACCTCGTAGGACAGATGGGGTTGAGAAGAGAGACCCTCACCATTCCCAGAATACAGCAACTCTCCCCCTAGACCCCTCCAAGGGGGAGGTCTACGGGGTGGAGACTCTCCCTGACCATCGTCCCAGCTGACCAATACCTGACCCATATCAAATGAGTCAGCCAATGATTGAGAGCCAGGGATAGAGCGGGGCGGGGCATGGTTGCTAGGGCCGAGCTTGTAGGGTGCGGCAAGAGGCTCTGAGAGAAACTCGGTGGTTGCTAGGGTGAGAGGTCACAGAGCGCGCTCAGTGATTGGGCAATATCAGCGGAGGTGACTGGGCGGTGCCCACGAGGCCGCGGGTGAAGTGCGAGCGCAAGAGTGCGCGAACGCGAGTTCCGGCGGGAGCATAGTGCTGAAGGCCGGCACCTTCACCATGCCCTCGGCTGAGCTGGACTACACCATCGAGATCCCGGATCAGTCCTGCCGGAGCCGGGGTAGGGAAGGAGGGTTGGGTCCAGTCGTGGGGAGGTGACCTAACAAGTTGCGGGTCGGAGGCGCAGCTGTGGCTCCGCCCCTTCGCGGCTCCGCCCTCTTGCTGTCAGTCCCCTCACAGGGTCCCGGAGGTCTTAGAGTTGGTTGGGAACAGAGGGCCCCGCCCCCTTGTAAGCCACGCCCCGGAGTGCTCTACTTGTCGGAGCCCCTTCCCTTCCCTTCTTCCTCTGCTCGGTTGGGGGCCTTTTTTCCCTATCTTTTCAATCAGCTTTTTCAAGTCCTTGCCCTCGTTTTTATTCTGGTACTGAAGGCTGGGGAGGGCAGAGGCTCTCCTGATTCCTTTGTTTGGAGTCGGGCTTCCCACTTCTAGCCTCTCTTTGGCTGTTGTGGCTAGAGGTCCCACTCACTATTTTCTCGGGGTTTTCACTGAAGCCCGAGGCATAGAACGCTTATCCCTCTCTCCTCCCCGATCTCCATAGTTGTGGTTAACAGAGCAGTCCCTGCCGTCAGAAGTCGGTTCACATCCTGACTCCTCCCCGTAGTAGCTGGGTGACCTTCGGCAGTCGACCCCCTCTGAACTTCAGTTTTCTCATCTACAAAAGTGCGGTACCGTAGTAACCTCCCTCACAGGGTTGTTGGTTGCACAACAGATTGTTTGTATGAAGGACCCAGCATGGTGCCTGGCATGGAGTGAGTTTAATGATTAGCATTATTTTCCGCCCTACAGGCATATAGATAAAGAAAGGTGTGTGAGAGTCTTCCCTAAAATTAGTAGCCTATATGTAGCCTGGGCCCCCGGCATTGTGAATAGTATTGGGGACCCAGAGAATGGAAAGTTGGGCACTGCTGGGAATTATGGTAGAGGAACGTTGAAGTTCATGTCCGTCCAAGCCCAGCAGGTCTCTCCCCTGCATTACTCGGTATTGCCTTCACGCCTCCAATCTCATTGCCAGCAGCAGCTCAGCCTCATGTTGCTAACACAGTGATCTTCCTAATGCAAAAGTCTGATCTATCACTGCTCTGTGTAAAACCCTTCAGTGGCTCCTTATTGCCCTCAGGATAAATCAAGTCCAGATTGCTTAACATGGCATTCAAAGTCCTTCATAATTTATCGGACCCTGCTTACCTCTGTGGTCACTATGTCCTTCCACTGTGCAATTTGAATTTTATGTTCTGGCAACAGAACTGCTTGTGATTCTCCACACATTTCTTGCTTCTCTGCCTTTGCTCCTGCTGTTTCCTCCATCTGGAATGCCCTTTCCCCTCTGCTGCCCCACACTGCCCCCCCTCACTTGTCCGGCTCATCATTTAAGGCTTAGCTCAGATGTTGCCTCCTTCAGGAGAGCCTTCCTAGACCCCTCCCCTAGCATCTTGTGTTCCTTGCTTAGGGTCTAAGAGGGAAAGGCAGGCAGGCCCTGGGCTCCCACAGAACAGATGGCTGTAGACCGGCCGTATTTCCCTAGAACTGGGCTCAGGGAAACCTGATCTGTTGGCTTAGGCACGTTTTGGCATCAGCAGGTCATGAAGCCAGTTAATATTCCTGTCCTTGGAGAGACTTCAGCTGCAAAGGGCTGGAGCCGCCTTCTGCATGGCCAGGAGGGCAGAAGTTCTCTCTCAGTGCAGGTGGGCAGCCTGGTGGTCTTGTTTGTGTTTCAGATCAACCTCCTACTGGCTCTGTGGCTTGGTAGGTTGTTGAACCTCTTCATGCCTCAGATTTCTCCACTGTAAAATGGGAATTATAATAGTGCCTACTCCAGGGGTTGTGAGGGTTAACAAGATAATGACTGAGAGTGTGTGCCTGGCACGTTATGAGTGTATTTTCTCCCCTTGTGGCTCCCCTCATTGCTTGAAAAGACTGGGTCCTAGAACTGGGAGAAATCTTGGGGGGTCATTTTGTTCTGCATCCTTCTATTGCTATGAGGGCATTCTGTTGCTACCCAACCGGTTCCTGACAGGTTGCTTCCTCCCACACATCCTGGCCTGTCAGGGATTGTTAGAAAGCACTTCCCTTTCTTGAGCCACAATAGGCCTGCCTTCCTGTCATTTCTTCTTTCAGTTCAGTATTTGCTGTGTCCTGGCCATGGGTTCGTTGCTGGTGCCTCAGAAGTGAGTCACACACAGGCTGCCTTCAGGGAGCTATGGTTTTGGGAAAGGGAGAGGTTTATAAGCAGCTGGTTTCACAATGATGTGGCTACTGGAGGGCTAGAGGGTCATGGTGGGTACACAGCAGTTGACAGCCTCAAATCTCTCTTCTCCAAGACAGATACCTCCAGGGCCTTCAGCTGTCCCCCCTCTGATGTAGTTCTGATAACCTCCTCCTTCTGATTGCTCCTCTGGACTGGCTTTAGTTCATCATGCCTTTCCTTCCCAGTGCATACCCAGAGCTGAACCGGAGGTTGCAGGACCCCTCAGAAGAAGGCAGCAGCACTGCGCTCACCTGAATCCATTTGCTTCTGATCTGCAGAGTGCTCTCTCCCAGGCCGACATTACATCATACAGTGACAGTCTTTGGGGACCCCAGAGATTGTCCTTCTTTTGCATTTACTGTTTAATGGTGGAGAAGTATGTAGGACAGTCATTTGGTTTCTGGAATTGTTTCCCCCCCATATTTGAACATCAAAACCACAGAGCCCAGCTATGATTGACAGCGAGGTGAGTGGCTGCTGCTGGCGTATCAGTTGGCTGGAATGCAACTTTCCCCTCCCTCCCACCGCCTTATACCTGCTCTCATGTCATTTCCTTGGGGAAGTACTTTGTCCCAGGCTGCCTCGCTCCTAAACTTTTTCTTTAAATTTTTACTTATTGATTATAGAGGAAAAGATATGGAGAGAAAGAGAGAGAGAGAGACAGATAGACACTGATTTTGTTGTTCCACTTATTTATGCATTCATTGGTTGATTCTTGTGTGTGCTCTGACTGGGGATTGAACCTGCAACTTTGGTGTTTTGGGATGATGCTCTAACCATCTGAGCTACCTGGCCAGGGCTGATGTGCAGATTTCAGTTGCCATTAGGAAGTGTTGCTTGAATACAGTTATGTTTCTAGGGAACAGCTAAGGACATGCACAGAGAAAGAAGTGTCCATTAAAGTATTTTTATAATAGCAAAAAATTGGGAACAACATCATGTCTAATAAAGGGAGATTGGTAACCATAAATTATGAAATATTCTGCAGCTGCTCTGCAGCCACTACAAAGAATGGCGCAGAAGTGTATAAACTGACAGGAAGAGGCATTCACAATATATTGCTAAATCGAAGAAAGCAGATTACAAAACAGTATGTTTCCAAGTTTATTAGATATTCATTTTCTCCTTTTCTACAATGAGCATGCATTCCTCGTGAAGTAATAATAATAACTTCGATTTATTGAATTCTTTCCTTATGCCAGGTACCTTTATAGTCATTATTTTATTTAATCTTTCATATTATTATCCTCATTTCAGATAAGGAAATTAAAGCTTAGAGAACTTGCTGAAGGTCCGTTTCACAGTTGCTGGTGCCAGAGCCAGAGGTTTCAACCCAGACATGGTTCTATACAGCGTGTATGTAGTCTTAGGCGTTGTGCTACTTGCTTATGCTCTTATTTCAAAAAGTAAAAAAAAAAATTTAAATAATTTGGTTTAAATGTAGGAACTGTGAGGATCTAGAAAGTATTTCTGGGGAGTAGAGAAACTGGAGCACCCTTTTATTCTTCACATTTTAAAAAGAAAACAGGTTCTTTGTGTCGTGATTCTGGCTTCCAGATGAAAAGCACACAACGTGCCTCAGACCTTGCACCTTGTCGGCCTTCCTGTTGTCATCCGAGGTGCCCCTGGGGGACACACAGTCTGACTTACGCTTCAGTGTTGTGACTTGAGCTATTGTACAATATGTGTATTGGTAATTTTTGTATTATTGGTGTTAGCATTGTTTTGTTCGAAATTCTAGAGGACAGGGAGCTTGTGAGATTAAATTGTTTGGTGGGGCGCTCGGAAAGTGCTGGGGCTGACAGGAATACTTTGTGCAGCCGGGGCGTCTGGGCACCCACACACCCATGCACCCATACACGGCCTCTTTGACTTCTCAGTGCCTTTGACTCTGGAACACCCTCCCCCTACCTTTTAAAAAATAACATTTTAACTCTCATTACAAAAGTAATACATATTGTTTATAGACAATGGATAAAAATATCACAAAAAAAACAATTGCCTCTAATCCCAGAAATAATTGCTATTAATATTTGATGTACTTTCTATGTACATGTATGTATGTATATGCATATATGTATTCTGTTGTTCATACTGCTTTTTAACTTGCTTTTTCACTTAGTGTATTACCGTTACTTTTTTATTAAAAATTTTTTAAATTTAAAATTTATTTTTATAGAGAGGGGAAGGGAGGGAGGAAGAGAGGGAGAGATACATCAGTTGGTTGCCTCTTGCGCGCCCCCAGCTGGGGACCTGGCTTGCCTGCAACCCAGGCATGTGCCCTGACCTGGAGTTGAACCGGCAACCTTTTGGTTCATAGGCAGGCACTCAGTCCACTGAGCCACACCAGGCAGGGAGTGTGCAGGTTTTTTTGTGGACATATATTTTCACTTCTCTTGGGGATATATACCTGGGAGTGGAAGTGCTGGGTCATTTGGTAACTATATGTTTGTAATTTTTTTGAGGAACTGCCAAACTGTTACTCGAAGTGGCTGCACATTTTGATATTCTTACCAGCAGTATATGGGGGTTCTGATCTCTCCACATCTTTGGCAGCACTTGTTACTCTCTGACTTTTATTATAACCATCCTATCTGGTATCAGGCGGTATCTCTTTGTAGTTTTGACTTTCATTTCCCTAATGCCTGTGATGTTGAGCATCTTTGCATGTGTTTTTGGGCTCCCATATAGCTTCTTTGGAGAAATGTGTCTTCAAATTTTTGCCCATTTTCAAATTTGATTATTTGTCTTTTTAATTATTGAATTGTCAAGAGTTTTTACTATATCCTGGATACAAATCCCTTGTCAGATATATG